GCCTTTGCTCCCCAGCGTTACCTGCTGCAGTTTGGCTACACCACGGAGGCGGAGGCGAAGACCGGCAACAGGCAAGTGTCCCTGGGCAAGGCGCTGCGCAAGATGCAGAAGCAGCTGGGCCTGGAAGAGACGGGGGAGCTGGATGCTGCCACTCTGGAGGCCATGCGAGCTCCCCGCTGTGGTGTCCCTGACGTGGGAACCTTCCTCACCTTTGAGGGGGACCTCAAGTGGGACCACATGGACCTGACGTACCGGTGAGTCTGCCCTGGAGATGAACCCTTCTGCCTGCAGGGCGATGGTCCCTGGGGGATGGAGACAGCCTGAGGAAGCAGGTGGGCAGCAGCCTCTGTTCAATCCTCATCTGGGCTTGGTGCTGCTGGCACAGCTGGGTCTTGGGGCTGCCGGGGCCAAGCTGGTACAGAGGCAGCATCTGCTCCCTGATGTCTGGGAGAGCATCTGAGCCCCGCACCGAGGGTGGTGGTGGCTGCTTTGCCCAGCCATGCCAATGCTGCTGTCCCCTCCCAGGGTGGGGGCACATCCCTGCCCAGAGCAGGGTCACTCCTGCATGAGGAGGAGACCTGGCAGCACTGATCCACTGCATCCCTGGCAGGGTGATAAACTACTCCCCCGACCTGGACCGTGCCGTGATCGATGACGCCTTCAGGAGGGCGTTCCAAGTGTGGAGCGATGTGACCCCCCTCACCTTCACCCAGATATACAGTGGCGAGGCAGACATCATGATCATGTTTGGCAGCCAAGGTGATGTCCCGTGGGCAGGCAGGGAATGAGGAGGGGGCTGGTGACATCCTTCCTTGTCTCACATCTCCTTGCAGGGGGTCCCTCTGCCCCCACATGTGCCGACAGGGCTGGGGGGTCTGTGTGCACACTGGGGGCGTGGGGGCTCCTCTGGCAAGGCCAGCTCTGAGGGTGCTTTTCCCTGCAGAGCACGGGGATGGATACCCCTTCGATGGCAAGGACGGGCTCCTGGCCCATGCTTTTCCCCCGGGCAAGGGCATCCAGGGTGATGCCCACTTTGATGATGACGAGTTCTGGACACTGGGAACCGGCTTAGGTAAGGGCAGGGTGTGGTGGGTTGGGGGGTCTGATGGCACCAGCCCCAGGCCTGGCATTGAGCCGCCCCTCTCTGAGCAGTGGTGAAGACCCGTCACGGGAATGCCAACGGTGCCGAATGCCACTTCCCCTTCATCTTCGAGGGCCAGTCCTACTCCCGGTGCACCACGGAGGGGCGCAAGGATGGGCTGCCCTGGTGTGCCACCACCGCCAACTATGACCGGGACAAGAAATACGGCTTCTGCCCCAGCGAGCGTGAGTAGCAGTTTGACCATGGCCCCTGCCCAGCCCCGCAGTGCCCAGGGCCCTCCTCACTCCCCCTTGCCCCACAGTCCTCTACACCAACGGTGGCAACAGTGATGGGGCCCCCTGTGTCTTCCCCTTCATCTTTGATGGCACCTCCTACGATGCCTGCACCACGGACGGGCGCTCCGACGGCTACCGCTGGTGTGCCACCACCGCCAACTTCGACCAGGACAAGAAATACGGCTTCTGCCCCAACCGAGGTGCCAGCGGGGTGTGAGGGGGAGGAGGGCATGCAGGGTGGGCACATGGGGGATCGCAGGGCTGTCAGTGTGGCCGCAGCCAGCCCCACTGACACTGCACTGCAGACACGGCGGTGATCGGCGGCAACTCCCAGGGGGACCCGTGTGTCTTCCCCTTTACCTTCCTGGGGCAGTCCTACAGCTCCTGCACCAGCCAGGGCCGGCAGGATGGCAAGCTCTGGTGTGCCACCACCAGCAACTATGACACCGACAAGAAGTGGGGCTTCTGCCCTGACAGAGGTACCGTCCCCCATGCCTGTGCTCCCCCCAGACCCACACCGTCCACTGCACTCACTGTGGGGCCCGTGGTCTCTGGGTGCCATGCCCTGTCCCATTGAGCCCCACTGGGCACTGAGGCCGGTGCTTTCCCCCAGGTTACAGCATCTTCCTGGTGGCTGCCCATGAGTTCGGGCACTCGCTGGGGCTGGACCACTCCAGCGTGCGTGAGGCTCTGATGTACCCCATGTACAGTTACATCCAGGACTTCCAGCTGCACCCCGATGACGTCCAGGGCATCCAGTACCTCTACGGTGAGCAGCTGTGCCACAGCTGGGCACACTGTGGGGCCCACAGCACCAGGCTGGCCCCAGCCTCACACCCTCCCCTGTATTCGCTCAGGTCGTGGCTCTGGCCCTGAGCCCACTGCACCTGCCCCCACCGAGGAGCCCCAGCCCCTGCCCACGCAGGAACCCCAGCCAGTGCCCACAGAGGAGCCCCAGCCCCTCCCCACAGAGGCTGGCAGCACCTCCACCACTGAGGAGGAGGAGGAGGAGACGCCGGAGCCCACAGCTGGGCCCATTCCTGTGGATCCCAGCCGGGACGCCTGCATGGAGAGGAACTTTGATGCTATCACGGAGATCAACGGGGAGCTGTACTTCTTCAAGGATGGGTGAGCAGCAGCACCTGGCGCCTCCTGCCCTGGCCAGTGCTGGGGTGATGAATGGATGTGGGCGAGCAGGGGGCTGTGCTGGGGGTGTGAGGGGACACTGGGCTGTGCCAGACTGGGTTGATCAGGATGCCTAACCTTCCCCACCAGGAAATACTGGACCCACTCATCCTTCTGGAAATCAGGCATCCAGGGTGCCTTCTCTGTTGCTGACACCTGGCCTGGCCTCCCAGCCACCATTGATGCCGTTTTCCAGGACTTGCTCACCAAGAGAGTCTTCTTTTTCGCCGGTGAGCTCTGCCCCCACCACTCTTGGCCCCTGTGCCACCAGCAGCAGGGGTGCCCCCAGGGCCAGCTGATACCTCCACTTATCTCCCACCGCAGGTCGGCAGTTCTGGGTGTTTTCTGGGAAGAGCGTGCTGGGCCCCCGGGGGATCGAGAAGCTGGGTATAGGGAAGGAAGCCGGCCGCATCTCGGGGGCCCTGCAGCGGGGCCGCGGCAAAGTGCTGCTCTTCAGCGGGGAGAATTACTGGAGGTGAGAGGCACCAGAGACCAGCAGAGCCTGCCCGTGCCCCTGGCAAGGGGCTGAGAGGGGGGTTCCCGGCAGCCCTGAGCACAGCTCTGCTCTCCCACAGGCTGGACGTGAAGGTCCAGAGGGTGGATAAGGGCTACCCCCGTGCCATCGACGACGTCTTCACTGGTGTCCCCCTTGACTCCCACAACGTGTTCCTCTACCAAGGTGAGTGGAACCTGGTGGGTGGGTGCCACGTGGACACCCCCAGCCTGCCCCAAGCCTCCTGCGGGCAGGGATTGCATTGCCCTGGTGCTGGACTCAGAGTGCTTGGGTGTGTGGGGAATGGCCTTGGGGCAGGGCATGCCATCAGCTCCAGAGGGTCCTTGCAGTGGGGCTGGCAGGTGGGGCAGCAAGGTGCAGGGTGCCAGGTGCCTCTGCTGCTCGGGCAACCACTGGGATGGGTCCCTGCATGGCCAGCCCCGCTCTGACCCTCCATTCCCTCTGCCCCCCACCCTTGCCCAGACAAGTACCACTTCTGCCGAGGTGACTTCTACTGGAGGATGACACCGCGCTACCAGGTGGACCGGGTGGGCTACGTCAAGTATGACATCCTGCAGTGTCCCCAGCACTGAGGGCCCAACCAGCCGCTGGCTCAGCCAGCGCTGCTCCCTGCCCACCACACCCAACCCGTGGGCTCCCATCTCACAGGCTGAGCCCTGGGGGTCTCATGGCTGTGGGCAGCCCCAGCTGAGGAGGGGGCTTCACCATCTCCCTGGCAGGAAGGGACAGGGGGTCCTGGGTTCACCTCTTGGGAGCTGCCCGGTCCAGGGAGCCCCAGACGGGGAGCAGGACTCTTGCCACAGCTGGCATCGTGCCGCCCCTGCCAGCGCTGGCTCCACAGCACAGAGGCGTTTGCCTGGTGCAAACCGCAAATGGATTTGAGACAAATTTGTCTTTTTCCTGAGCCAGCGGTGCCAGGTCGGGCTGAGCCCCACTGGGAGCTGGCGCCTGGGGACGCACTGGGGCGGGACACGGGGGTCTGACCACTCCTGCCCGCTGCCCACTCCACCAACCGCCTGCTCTGCCAACCACCCGCCCATTTGTAATAAAGACAATTCTTTGGACACAGCCTCGAGTGCTCCATCAGCGGCTGGAGCCACGGTGCAGAGAAGCTCCTCCTGCCGAGGGCATCGCCCTCCCCTGGGCTTGGGTGTGCCAGCACCTCTGGGGAAGGGGGCATTGGGTGGGGGGTTGCCACCAAGTCCCCCTGTGCAAAGGACTGTGGATCCCTCAGGGACGCTGGGTCCCACCGGGGAGGATATCCGCTGGTCCCAGCACGACCCGCCACCAGTCCTATGCCAGGCACGGCCCCCTCTCAGGCCCCCCAGGCGGTGGCTCCGCATATCCCGCCCCCGCTGCCCTCCCCTGCGCTCCAGCTTTGCACGGCGACGAGGAGCGGGCGGTTGCCGCCGGCTGGGACACGGCGTATGGCCGGGACACAACGTGTGACCGGACTACCCCCTGTAGCCGGGACCCCACCGCGGGCTGGCCCCGCAGAAGCCCCCCGGCCCTGGCTTGTGTCTGCGCGGCCGCAGAGCCTGGCGGCGGGGCCAGGGCCGGGGCCATGCCCGGGGTGCCCGGGTCCGCGGCAGGGTGGGGCGGCCGCAGCCCCAGGGCCGTAATGAGCTGTAATTAGTGGCCGAGTCTCCGGGCAGGGCGGGGGCAGAGCGCGGTCCCGTCCCTTCCCTTCCCGTCCCGTTGGGGCACGGTCCCAAGCACCCCCAGTTCTGCGGCGGCTGCGGGACTGGCCGGGCGCGGCGGAGCGGAGCGGACCCGTCCCGTCGAGTCGGGCCGGGTCGGACCGGGTAGAACCGGGCGGAACCGAGCCGAACGGAACGGGGCCGGGCCGATCCGCTGGGACCGGAGCCAGCCCTGCGGCCGCGGGGGCGGCGCGGCGGGCGGTGCCGCGGGCACTAGGACCCCGGTCAGCGCCCGGCGGGGCCGCGCTCGGCGGCCGCCTCGGCCGGAGACACTTGTGGCGGCGGCGGGGCCATGAGCGGGCGCTTCACCGTCACCGGCGGCGGGGGTGAGCGCCGGGGGGGCTCCAGGGGCAGGGCAGGGTCCGCGGGGAGGGTCCGTGGGTAGGGTCTGCGGGGCAGGGCAGGGTCCGCGGGGAGGGTCTGTGGGGCAGGGCAGAGTCCGTGTGGAGGGTCCGCGGAGGGGTCCGTGGGGAAGGCCGGGCCGTCGGGACACCGTGGGGGGCTGCGGAGTGACGATCGGTCTGTCGGGCCCCTCGGAGGTGATGCAGACCCCCCGGAACGAGGATGGCGTGGAGCTCTGGGACACGGGAGATGGGGGTTGCAGAGTGGGGAGTGGGGTTTGGCTGCCTGGGCAGGACCCCTCATCCCGGGATATATCCCGGGGTCACCCCCGCTCCCCTGGGACCTCCCCTGCTCTGTCCCTGTCCTGGGGGCTGTCAGAGTGAGGAGGCCTTGCTCCTGCGGGACTGGCAGCGGGATGAAGCGGGGTTACAGCTGGGGGTCGACTGTGGGTAAAAGGCCACACTGCTCCCCAGGGAGCCACGGTGCAGGGTGGCTGTGGCCAGGCCAGGGCGAGGGTGTGGGGAGGGCAGGCTGTGGCCAGCCCACAGTGGCCACCAGGCTGCTATGGGCTCAGGCACTGGAGCCAGCAGCCATCGCCTCGCCGTGCTCAGGGGACGTGGCGGTGGGGCCGTGCTGTCACCAGAGCCGTATCGATCCCAGAAAACCGGCCGACGGCAGCACCGTGCTGCTGGAGCTGTGACCTTGCACCCTCGGCGAAGGGCGCGGGTGGGAGGCGCGAGCAGCCGGATGGGCGCCACAGCACCCAGGCTGGGCTGTGCCCCCGGCGCTGGGCTCTGGCCCACGGGGCCCTGGTGTGGGATCCCACCAGGGTGGGTTATGTAGGGCTGGACCCGGTGGCAAGGGGACGCAGGGCCATTTGTCACCCCGTGGCGTCTGGGTCAGCTGGGCCTGGCCCGTGGGCTGGGTTGAGTCAGAGTGGACAGTGATGAGCTGGAGCTGAGGCTGAATTCTGTGGCCCTCCAGGAACAGCTCATTGGCTTGACAGCCAGTCTGCTGGTGTGGGGGTGAGGGGAGATGGGGTAGGCATGGTGAGCGGCCACAGTGGGAGCAAGGGACACATCCCCCTGGCTGAGCTGTGACCTTGTGCCCTCCCAGAGGACAGCTGGTGGCTGGCCCTGCTAGGGGTGCCCAGGGCCCACCCTACCTCGTGGGGTGGTCATGGCCGTGGCAGGGTGGGTGCTGAGGGGTTGGGCAGTGTGCAGGGAGTCTCCAGGCTGCCCCAGGTGATGCCCCACGTTGCTCCACGGTGCGGGGCCGTTTGTGCCGCCTCCTGAGGGTGGGTGGGAGAGGGTGCATGGGGCTGGCAGCTGCGGGGCTGGTGGGGGCTGTGGACAGCAGTGGTGCCACGAGGGACCCGGCCCTCGGTGGGCACTCAGTGCTTCCTGGCCCCATCCTAGTGTCACGCATGGGGCTGTCGGTGGCTCAGAGCAACGGAAATCCCGGGACTTTAGGGGGTCCGGGCGCGGGCAGGGGGCTGCAGCCAGCCGTGCTGTCAGTGCCGGGATGATGCTGGGACTCTCGGGGCAGCCTGTGGACCCCCAGCCCGTCCGTGGGCTGGTGCCCTGCTCAGGGCGCCTTGCGAGGCCCGGGGCCGCCCCCCGAGCCAGCCCTGCTCGGTAGCGCTGGTGCTGCTGGGGAGAAATCTCAGTCCCGTGCGGACCCGGAGCAGGGACGGCCGCGGGAAGGGACAGTCCGGTGCCAGGCAGGGGCAGGCAGGGTACGGGCAGCGCGCAGCCACGGGGGCCCCGTGGTCACTGTTGCGGTACGGCCGGGACCGGGGCTGGGCCCGGGTGGTCGGGTCCGGTCGGGACGGGACGTGGCGCGCGGGGTCTGTGCGGGCGGGGGCGGACGGGGCTGCGCGGGGTCCCGGCGCCGCCAGGGGGCGATACCGGGACGGGACGGCTCCGGTAGGGGGTGTGTCCCGCCAGACCCCGCCCCTGCCCCGCCCCGCCCCGCCCGCGGGCCCCGCCGGTGCCGCCGCCCCGGGGGAACCCGGTCCCGCCGCGGGGGCGGGGCGAGCCAGGCCCCCGCGGGACAGGGGATCGGTGGGCTCCCCCTGGGACCCAACTCGAGACTGGGTCCCCCACCCGCCCGGGGCGGTGGTCGCGGGGCTGCTCCCCCCGTGCCCGCTGCGCGGGCCGTGGGGCGACCGCCCTATCCCGGCGGGGCACCGGGGCATCACCACCGCGAAGCCTCTCCGTGTCCCGAGCACCCGGACTCGGCGGCAGTAGCCATGGCAACCAGCCCGTTAAGGAGCCTCTCTCGTTGCCATGGAAACCGGTCCCGGTGTCATCCCTTCCGTGACTCCCGGGGCTGAGGGGGTTTTAAGCTGGGGGATATGGGGCCATGGGGTCGTGGGCCTTGGGTGATGGACAGGGTTGTGTGGGGCACCCATGTGAGATTGGCTCTGGGCAGGAGGTGAGCTCCTGGGGGAGCTTGGGTAGAGTGGGGACCCCACCAGCCCTGGCTGCACCTTTATGCACGGCCACTGCATAAAGGGGGGCCAGGGTGCCAGGGATGGGGCAGGGCCCTGATTCGAGGCACAAGGCACAGAGAGGTGCATGTGAGGGATGGGGACTGCTAAGGAGGCTCCCCTGGTCCCCCATCTCCCTCAGCTCTTGGCTTCCCGTTTCACCCACTGAGGTCAGGTTTGTGGTAGACTGGGTGCCTTTGGGGTGTCATTAGAAGCACCAAGGGGCTGTGCCATGGAGGGGCCAATGATATGGGGGGGTGGTATGCTGTCAGGGGGGCTGCAGCAGCTGAAACCCCATCTGCTGCCTGCAGCACCTTCCCAAGGCCTCTCTGTGCCACTGAACCCACCACAAGTGCTCCAGTGGGGTGCCAGGGTGGGGGTCCCTGCACAGGCTGTGGGGCTGGGTGAGGGGCGGCATGTGGGACACTCCAGAGCTACATCAGCTGATACCACACCCAACCCTTCTGGGGGTGGCTGTGCAGCTGCTCCTTGGCCATCGCTGGGCCTTCTGGCCCTTGCTTGGCAGCGGCTGCCTGGCATCCCCAGTGTGCTGCAGCCGGCACGGGGCTGCCTGGGGGCTCCTCAACTGTGTCGCTGGGAGCAGGGCCTGGCAGGAGGAGGCCGCTTCCACTGCTGATCCCTGTTCCAGGCTGCCTGTCCGCCCACTGCCACGGCCCTGCCGCCGGCAAGACATCTGGGCAAGGGCAGCTGGGGATGCTGCGCCAGCTGCGCGTGGTGCTGGGCTCGCATGACGCAGGAGCTCACGGCTCCTGCCTTGCCCCATGGCCTCCTGCCCGCTCTGTCCCACTGCCGCCCTTCTGCTCTTGGCCCCAAGCAGCTCCTCCCGTGGCTCCTCTCCCAGCCCCACAGGACACTACCCCCCTCCATGTCCAGTCCCACTGCTGGAGCTGGTGGCAGGTCCCAGCTGGTGCCCACGTTGCCTACGGGCTCTGTTTTCACCCTAGCGCTGGTGGCAGGGCCCTCACCTGTTTGGATGGGGATGAACAAGACCACTCCATCCCGCTGAGGTGCTGCAGGACATGTTCCCCTGGACTCACAGGGCCATCAGAACAGAGCGGTGTGGGGCACACCGTGATGCAAACCCTCCGCCGTGACCTTTGGCTGGCTGTGGGAATCACCGCCCTCCTGCCCTGCTGCATCTCCAGGCTCTCCCCACCTCTGTGTCCTCTTGGGGTCTCTCCTGCCACAGCTGTTCTTTCAACCAGGCCCTCTGCCTGTCCTCACACCCTTGAGCCCTTGGTGTCCCATCCTGGCAGGATGCAGGTGGGCAGGCTGCCGACTGTGCCCGGGGATCACAGCAGGTGGTGCAGCCGTGCTGACCGGCATCTCCACAGCACGGCTGCCCCCATTTTCTGGGTGGCACGCTGCCAGCTGCCCGCTCCCTGCCCTCAGGAGGTTTCCCAGCACCTCCAGCACGTGTCTCACTCCTGGGAGGTTTGACCGCTGCCAGTGACAGGACAGGCTAGGGCTGTGTGGCCGATGGCTGAAATGCTGACCCTGGGAATATCTGTGGGAATGGTTCCCCACAGCCAGGCTCTCTGTGACAGAGTCTGGGGCATTCTCAGGAGGCTCTGCAGGGGTACAGGACACTTTGCAGGGATGCTCCTTGGCTTGGCGGAGGAGTCATGCCTCTCTCCGTCATCGTTCCCGGGCAGCCTCTTGCAGTTAAGTGGGGCACTGATGCTCTGCCTGGCCCAGTGCCAGGCTCCTGCCTGCTACTCAGGCTCAGGGGCCACTTGCAGCTGATCCCCCCCTCCATGGCCAGGGAAAAACGTCTGTTTTCCTCCTTTCCCATGCACATGCGCTGCCCGCAGTGGGGCTGCAGGCAATGCAAGGGCATGGGTGATGCCCAAACCGTGCCAAACCTCCCTGCTCCCAGCACACTGCACCACATACCCAGCCTTGGGCATTTGGGCCAGGGTTAGGTCAGTGTTCTGCTTGGGGATCAAGCCCCCTCAGTCTGCTCTGCCCCAGAGACACCCTCAGTTTGTCCCCCCATGCCGGTGGCACCCTGCGCATGGGCTAAGCCAATGCAGTCTTGATAGCATAGCCCCCTGTGCTGCCGTCAAATCCCAACCCCTGAAATGGAGCCATAATCCAGGGATTAGGGGATTAGTGGTCTTTCACGTGCTCCCTCCCCCCCATCTGTTTTAGCAGGAAAATCCCTCTTGTGCCGAGCCCACGCGCTGTGGCCTCCTGCAAAAACCACCCTCCGGCACTTGGCACTCACCGTGGGGTGGACCCCAGCCCACTGCCCCTCTGCCCAGCCACAGTCTCCACATGGGAGAAGGCTCTGCTAACCCCCCAGACCCACCTGTGAGTGTGGCTCTGCCTTCTGCATCCTTCCTGCAGCCCTTGCCTCCCAGTCCCATCCCTTGAGAGTGGGCAAGCCCCTTGCTCCAGCGCTGGCTCCTGCTCAGGGCCAAGGGGTGCAGGGGTGAGGGGCTGGTGCTGCTGCAGCTGGTCGGG